ATCCAAATAAGTCCATGTGGTAGAATTTCTAGTGGCCTAGAGGTGATGCACTCTCTAATTGAGTGAAAGGATATTTGAACTTGTTTTCCTAGTTGACAAGCATCACATAAGTGATCCTTGGAAAAGTCTAACTAGGTACACCTCTAACTAAGTTTTTTTTTAGTGATGTTTCTAAGAGTTTCATACTATCATAAGGCATAGTCTCCTATGCCATAACCACGAGTCATCAACTATTATTTTCAAAGCAGAAGAGTTTGAGCTATCAATGCAAATCAGGTCTAACATGTATAACATTATTCATTCGTTTCTCCTTCTAAAAACTAGTTTATCAAAAAAAGCTAATCAGATTTATCAGATAAAAATTTAAATTGTCAAAATCTTTGTCACACAATTTGACTAATGCTAAGTAAGGTTTTTATTGGCCCCCTTTTTAAACCATCAACTAATAAAACATTTTCAATTAAAAAAATTGTTAGCATTACGCAACAGTAACTGAGCTATCCCTTCATGATAGTGTTATCTCCCAACGTTACATTGCCTAAGTTTTGGTCTCAAAGTAGGAAGAACTTCTTCATGTCTCCAGTCATGTGTCCGTGAGCAACTCACTGTCCAGTACCAATCTCCTCACTAGTCCTTTTGTGGAGAGAATCCTACAATTTCATTCAAAGATTAGATTTGGGAACCCAAGTGAGTTTGGGTTCCTCCTGTAATGCTTGTATTGAATGAGATATATGCATGTTAATGCTATGAATGGATTCAGTTTAGGTCTCCATACTAGTGTGTCCTTATGGTGAATTGTGCATGTGCGGGCTATGTGACCTAAGCATGCCACAAGAGAACACCTAACACCAAGAAATGAGTTTACTATCTATGTGGGTGGTGGGGCCTCTTTCTAAAGTTTTGTGATGCATGCTGTGTTGGGGGTTTGCGGGATGGCCTAATGTTAGTGATGCAAATTTCATTTCTAGTTCTTTTAATTCTCTCACTAAAAGTTTTATTTTGGAGTTTGTCATCATCAAATTCTATTAATAGCAAGTGCTCACTATGATCTACTTCTAATGCAAGTGTCGTTAGTTTTCAACTCCTACTCTAGTTCAATATGCGATGGTTTTCAAAGGAATCATGCGCTTCAAATTAGTTCAATATGCTTTCTTATTTAATGCATCCATGAACGTCATCAAGGAAGTAACATGTGATCTTTATCTAAATCGGAATTTTCTTTAACTAAGTTAGCAAATGCTCAAATTTGTAAAGAACTAAATTCAATATTTAAGTTTAGCTAATGCAATTTTTTTCAGTTTCGCTATACAGTTATGAAATATTCGCAGAATATAGCAGTAATTCCATCATTATGAGAGTTGACATACCTCTTTCTTGATCCGGATTGATCAAGGTTATCGTTAGCGCATAAGACCCACAAATTAGTTACTCCTCCATCTGCTTCTTCCTCTGACGATTCTGAGGCAGAGTCGGGCCCAAAAAGCTTTTTGTGTCCTCATATTTCCCTTCTTGTATGTTGGCTTTCTCATCACCTTCCCTTAAGCCCTGGTTGGCTCTTCAGATTGGGCGAATCGCTCGAAGGTGACCTGCTTCCTGCATTCAAAACAGATTGTAATCAAAGATGAAAACCTATTGGACCTTGAGCTCTTACCTTTTTATTCCAGCTGTTTCTGATGACGCTTTTTTTTTCTCTTCAGGTGAAAGTTTTTGACTGTTCGGGTCATCAAATGTAATCCCATCATCTGTGTCCCCTGCAGAGCTTTCAACTTTCTGAGTTGCTAGCCTTTCTAAGCCACCGTCCGCTCCTTTTTCTTTTTCACCTGCATCACTTTCCTTTGGTCACTCCTTGCTAGTTAGCAATGAGTGACCCAAGGGGAGGTTAATCATAGAATAAACATTAAGATCTTTTGGACTCGAGTATAGTAGTAAGAATATAAACACTTAAGCACATAGGAATCTAGGTTAAGCATCTATGAATTTTATTCATTTTTCTCAAAATTGAAATTTCTCTACCTAATGGCATGCAAGGGATGTCCAATTTGGGTGAACAAGTGTACATGTTCAGGAAATTATTTCGCAAGATGTTTCATAACGGAAGTAATTCATATATAGATAGCAGTTAGAATATTTAATCCCTAGACTGCTTTTAACTTTCGTTTGTTCCTTCGATGTAACTGCACAGTCTATCCAATAAGTCTCCTTACTAGAAGCACAAACGTAGAATACTCTCATATAGTTCCTCCAGATTTCAAATGCACAAAAAAACAGTTTAAGCACTTAGCATTCAGTTGGTAACTCCCTATCCTCATCTCTCCATTCAATAAACGGTAACAAGTTTTCAAAACATTACAATAATTTAAAACTGGTGCAAACATAAACTCATCATTTACTAAACATCCACATGCCGGTAGTCCTATAGATTGCGAAATAAATGTAGACATTCTAATTTCATAATAAAATCAACGGTTATGTTAATCATAAAAGTGGGTGGACAGAAGTTAATTAATAACCCCTCCGCAGTGTACGATTACCCAAAATTTCGACATAGATCTATTTTTCAAAGTTTGTCTAAAATACTATTTTTGAAAAAACACACTCTGATTACACAATTGAAAATCACTAAAAACGACGAAGATGGGGGGTGAATTGTTAAAAAGAGTCTTTTTCTTAATAAAAGTAACCCTAAACAATGATTCTATATTTTTGTTGTTTTGAAATTTTAATAACAAATCTTTAATGCAAGTTTCTTCCAACAAAATTCACCCATCCATAGTTATGAAAATTAATAGCAAGTAAAAAGTAAAAACAACGATAAGGAAAAAAATACACCAGAATTTTATATGTGGTTGGTCAAAATATGACCTACGTCCACTCCCCGCGAGTCCTCCACTCAGGGATTTTCCCCTATCCAAATAGTTTCTCCTTTTTGCCCCCCCTCGCGGCATGGCGGAGAGAGCCTTTACAAAACCTCCTTCACCAACCCGGCGTGGCGGAGTGCCGAAACTCTGTTTCGCCCTCCTGGCGACCGGCAGAGAACTTGCAGGTAAAGATGTAGACGAGCGACTTTTCCTTGGAGATCCTCCCTCAAATCCTTCTAGGGACACAGGAGGAGCAAGATGCAACAAGCTTTGAGAGCCAACCGTCGTGATCTCCCTCACACCTCTTCTCCCCACAACGCTCACCTCCTCCTTCCTCTCTCAACCCTCAAGAATTTTTCTAGAGCTCTCTCCCTTGGAATTCTCTCTAACCACGTTCACCTCCTCTATAATCTTACTGAAAAGGAACTTGATTGACATCTAAAAAGGGCTCCAAAAACCTTGATTCAAAAGAGTCGTTATTGTTCGTACAGTACGATTCAACATTGTAGAGCAGTACGATCTTCATAAATAGACGTCCGTCCTGTACGAAGATGTAACGAACAGTTTAAAACAATTTGTACTGTACGATATAATATCATACGGTACGATCCAACAAAAATACTATTAGTACAGGACGATGGTCCTGGAAGATCATATGTCCATCTCTGTTCATTGTATGGTAGCGATTACTATCGTACAGTACGTATGTGACAAAAACCAAGAGATCATCCAGGAACGATATCCGGGTGATCAAACTTCGTCTCTGTTCATCATATGGTAGATCTGGTTCGTATAGTACGACGTCAAAATTAAATTAGGCCTGGATTTCATGCACTAATTACGGGTTAATTTAAGTAAGTATTAAAAAATAGATCGACGTACGAGTACGAACGGCGCAAAATCAACTTACTCAAATTAAACTATGGCTAGGGTTTGGATCTGAACATATCGTACAGTACGAATATATTCGTACAGTACGATCTTAAATTCACAGAATCGTCCACATAGCTCTGATCGTAACGGTACGATTAATTAAAATCGTACAATACGATCTACAGAGAAGAATTTCTATGACATTTTGCATTTAAAAATAAACCCTTCCCCTGTGTGTGTGCATGTTGGCTCTTACTCTTAATGCATTTTGTGCCAGACTCAATAAAATAAAATAAAATAATATGAAAAATACAATGTTTGACTTATACTCCTAATCTACCCGTCTTGAGTCTTCCTTTCGTCCTGAGTCACTTGTGATCTTCCTGAAATGTTAGAACTCAAGGACAAGATAGCAAATTAAAATAATATTCAATGAATAGTTGTTCCAAACACTCATTATTTGGCATCATCAAAATCTCAAACTCAGGTCATGGGTTGCAACAGGACCTTTGGGCTGCTGCCTTGACCTAAGAAGGACCTTGAGGAGAGAAAGAGAGAGAGGGAGAGAGAGAGGATTCTTGTGAGGGGAGCTTGTGAGGGATTCACAAGGGTTCTTCAAGGATCACTCTGCTTCTTCTTCGTCTATAAGTTCTCGTCCGTGGAATGGTCGGTAGAGGTAAGGAGTTAGCTTTTGGTTGTGGTTCTCTGCCAGCTTCAGGAGGAAGCAAAAGGAGGTAGGTTCTCTGTTCTTACGCGGGGTGGCAAAAAGGAGGTGCTTTGTAAAGGCTTCTCCGCCTTAGCTGTGGGGGGTAAAGGAGAGTCCACTTTTGTAAATCAATACTCAGAGGGCGCTCACGGGGAGTGGACGTAGGTCCGAGTTGACCGAACCACTATAAATTCCTATTTCTTGTTTTCTGCTTCCACACTTTTATTTCCGCACATTTATTTTTGTGGTTGTGATTTTGGTTTATGTGATTTTCATTCTTTGTGAAAAGAAATTTTAAAATACCAATTCACCCCCCCCCCTCTTTGGTTAGCTTGACTACGTTTAGGGCTTAAGATCCCTAACGAACTTTCAGAGTTAAATATTCTCATGTTTCATTTCGGCACACGTGGCTATTATAAATTATGGATGAATTAGCTATTGAACTAAATACCATTGTGCTTGCATTTTTTGGAAGAATGGAGTTGATTATCAAAGTTACAGGCTATAAAAGTTACTCGCATAAAAGATATTTGTTTCACTCTATGTGTATATTGATTGTGTTTGGAACAAGTGCATTGGAGGTTTCATTTGACTCTTGGATTATATGTTTTTGATGTATAGTTTATATATGAATTATAATAATATATATATATAATATTATATATATATATAATAATAATATATATATATATATATATATGCTAAATCTTTAGTGCCTTGTGTAATTGTTGTGTTAAAGAATATCCATGTCATTCTATGTTTCTTTATGAAAATATGTATGGACTTAATATGGTGGTGTTTTGGAGATGGTTGGCAGGTTTCATGAATGTTCAGGAGAATGATTAGATTGTACTATTTTATGATTGTGGTTTGTGTTGGGAAGAAGAATGATGTATCATCTCTTTGCATAAGTAAGATTGAATAGTCATTTGAAGTGCTTTGTGAAATTTTGGAGAGTGGAGTATGTTGGAGATTTGAACTTATTTGGGTTTATTGGGTGGTTGTTGGAAAGATAGAATTTTGGCAAGAATGCGTTAAGTCTCTTATCCTCCCTACCCCTCTCTCTTCTCCTTCTACTATTTCATCTCTTTCTCTATTTTTCTGATACTACTTATGTTTTGAGATGAGATGTAGTAAGGTATTTGCAAAGTTGAAAGTGTATTGGCTTTGTATCGAAAAACTTCATGAGCTATCTTTGGGATGGAATGTCTTACAAGAGATTTTATGTTGGAAAGTCTTTATGATTCTCTTTATATTGAAAAATTTTATGGCTTGTATTACGTTGGAGAGTTTCATGATTTCCTTTATTGTTGGAAGCTTTACGAAAGGCTTCGTGAATTGTTTTTCCTCGAGAAGTTCTATTATGTTCTTTGTGAATGTTTTATAATAGAGTGCTTCATGAAGCCTTCTTGTTAGAAGATTTTCATGAATTAACCCCACGCCAAACATAAGAAGCACTCGATCATTTTTTTTTTTTTGGAAAAAGTTTTTGTAGATTGCTCTCTTTTTTAGAAGGGTTTTATATGTCGTTTCATTTGGAAAGTTTCATAAGTCAAGTTTTGGGATTTAAAGCTTTGCGATTAGCTTCGTGTTGGAAGACTCTTTATTGTCTTTTTAGAACAAAATGATATTTCATACGTGAGTTTTCTTCTCTTTGTGCATGCTTCTAGAATTGAGTTTGAATGAATATGGCGGTTGGAAAGAAAGCTTATTTTGGTTTTAGTTTTGGGAGCTTGTTTCCCCTTTGTCATTTTAAGCTTTATTTAGAAGATAGTATACGTAATTGAGTCATGTTTTCCTCGAGTGCTTTGTTTGGAATGTGGGTATAGCAAATGGTATCAAAATACCTTCTTTCCTATTCATATTACATTGAATTGGAGTGAGGGGCATTTTAGAGACATGCTTGGCTTCGAAGAAGCATGTCCAATAACAAAAATGCCTACATTCCATTTATTATTTTGATTTTCATTCGTTCTTTTTGGCATTTTGTCATCTTTATCTTTACCTCTCGTCTTTATATTACTTTTTTTCTTATTATCTTATTTTATTCATAGATTCTTGAACTTATTGATATACGTATGAATGTCCAGAGGGTTAGAAATGAACTTTCTTTTGTCCCCTATAACACTAGTGATACCTAAGGACAAAAAAAAGGACTAAGTCTTAGATAACATAAACTTATGATGCATGCTTCCTATAGGATAAAGACGTTAAACATAAAAAACTTAGTGACAGATTTTCCAAGGATTAGTGTGCCTTAATCCAATAATAATCAACAAATAAAACCATTCATAATTAAATTCTTAAAATGCATTAAAACACTTAACTTTAAATCAAACCATTATTAACTTATTTAATCACTAAAGTACAAAATTTAAATCATGTTTAACAAATCCATTAATTGATCTCTAACCAACCCAAAACTTAAAAGATATAGACTAAATTAGGAGGACATATTTAAACTAAAATTTGCTTGGCTAAAAGACTTCTAAAAAATCAAACATAAAGCAAGTTTTTTAAAACCAATCAACAAATCCCTTAATACATAACAACCACTCTAAAGATGAAGTTTATTTGATTGACTACTCCGGGCTGTGGGGCTAAGTGTCTTAAAGAGGCCTGTTTTTTTGAGTCTTGTGGCACAATGTCATAAATGGACTCAATGGAGTGTTAAAACTTTAAAATTAATTGATTATTAATGATTTCAATCAAATCTTAATTGATAATAAGTTACTTAATTCAACTTTCTTTTTAATTTATAACCAACTGAAATAATTCAATAAAATTGGTTACCACTGTGTAACCTAAGCCTACGAGGCTATTAAGTTAGCCCCAAGGAGGGTGAAATAAATCTCAAGTCCTCTGTGAGAAATAAAGGTGGTAATAAACTAAACATTAAATTAAAATTCTTAAAATCAATCTTAAAATATTAATATTTAAACTTAAATTAAAATTTCTCCCTTAACCTTTAACAAATCAAAACACAAACAACTTCAACTAAATCAACCTACATTAGACATACCCAAGACCACACAGACTATTACACACACCTAGACTTATTTATTATGACATGACTTCTAGCTCTAGGTTAGGCCAATATTTTGTTTTGTTATTCAATGTCAATTACTCTTACCAAATTAGAAGAATTACTAGATTATTTTATGTTCTAGCCATAACATACACATGTTTTATAAATGCTAATCTTAAACTTATTATTAGTTATATTTTTATTTACCTGCATTTCTTTCCAGAATGGAATCTACGCTCATTTGTGTATTTTTTTTTGTCTTGCAAGGTACATTGGATCTTGTATGGTTGAGAATGAGTGGATAATTTGCTCGCTTGACATTCTTAAGTGGTCGCGCCACAATCAGGTATAATCCTTACAACTTGTAAAGAAAACTCCTAATTATATATCAAAACTGTTACAAATCACACACATTTTGTTAATAGTTTTTAGTTTAATATATATTATAGCATGTTTAGATAGTTGGACATAGGTTAGTGCACTAACAAAGCTTCAGCCTTATAGGTCAAAGCTTGCCCCCCTCTTATGTGAGCCCTAGATACAATTATGATCACCTTAGGCCTATAGTATAGGCCCAC